TTGTAGAAAAGTGCTTATGAGTTAGATTTTGGGAAAAATTGGGGGTTTTACTATTTGAGTTAAGATTCTACTAAATTGATGATTCTATTAGGTTTTATATTAATCTATAAATATTATTGTTACATTATTTGGTAAAATTGATGATCTAGATATGGACACTACAATGAAATGGACTTTTAGTGGCATTTAATATGACTTTTAGTGGTAATAAAAATTGCTACAAAATCTTTTACCGGCATTTCACACATTAGCTATTGTATGCAGTGTCGCTAAAACATTTACCGGCAATTATTCTATATGTTGGTACATAATGGTCGGGAAAAATGTATAACTTTTTGTGTCATTTGTTACTGGCATTTAAAATTGCCGCTAAAAGTTTAAGAAAAGATTTATAATATTATTTAATTATCTTATTTCTAGTCGATGTAGGACTTGTAAGATGAGTACAAATACTTTTTAGTTACCTTATTTCTAATTGATGTGGGACTTAGAAGATGAAGGTTATCTTCTAAGTATATATTCTTTAATTTTTTTAATTATCTTATCTCTTAAATACCAACTTAGAATAGTAATTTATGGCCTAACTCAACCTTATAAAACATACTTGTAAGGTGAGAGTTATCATTCACTTATATACTCTTTAATTATTTTATTTCTAGTCGATGTGGGACTTAAGTTTTTTCTAGGAAATAATTGTCGCTAATAGTAAATTTTGATGTGATGTAAATACCTTTTTAATGACTATTATATAATAGTCATTAATATTTTTATTAAATAATAAAATAGAGGCAATTAATTTATTGTCATTAAATAATTGTCGGTAATACTAAATTTTGTTGTAGTAGGAATATGGTGTGCTGCCTTCGTACAAATGTATACATTATATCTATTGTTTTAATATTGAATTGATAACATGACGTGAGTATGTTGATATGAAATGAGATGTTGATGTGATATGATTTTGGTTCCTCACACATATGACCAGAGATGAGACGACCCTGGGTAAGTGATGTTTTAGGGATGGCGTGCCCCTAGCATAGTGTGGGATGAGTGAGACAATTAACATGTATCACTTATGTCTAGAGTGGCACGACCTTGAGATGGCGTGACCGTTGACATAGTGTTAATTTTAAGATTTGTGATGATTGTGATTGTGATGTGATTGTGGTTCCTTACACATATGACCAGGGATGAGACGACCCTAGGTAAGTGATGCTACAAGGATGGCGTGCCCTTGGCACAGTGTGGGATGAGTGAGGAAATTAACACGTATCACTTATGTCTAGAGTGGCACGACCTTGAGATGGCGTGACCGTTGGCATAATGTTAATTGTAAGATTTGTGATGATTGTGATTGTGGTTCCTCACACATATGACCAGGGATGAGACGACCCTAGGTAAGTAATGCTATAGGAATGGCGTGCCCCTGGCATAATGTGGGATGACTGAGGCAATTAATACGTATCACTTATGTCTAGAGTGACACGACCTTGAGGTGGCGTGACCATTGACATAGTGTTGATTGTAAGATTTGTGGTGGATTGGTGTAATTGTGAAATTGTGATGTGAAGTTAATGCATCATTGATAGAATTATGATATGTAGAAATGATTGTAAATATTTCATTATGTAATGAGTTATGATGAGATTACATTGTGGTGTGTTTGTATGTGCTTTACATATAGATGTTTTCTTTTCTCACCGTATAATTTATGGATATTTTAGGTGAGGAAGATCCGGCTTTGAGTGACATCTAGAATGCCAACAATTGAATTATGGGTGTGCTCTGGTATTGTGACAACGGGGCAGAGGATTCTAGGATATAAATTTTTATATGTATTTGGAGTTGTACCTTTTCTTTTGAAAACAATTTGTAAACTCTTAACTTTTACTTGCCAAGTTTTATTTTAGATATTGAAGAACAATTATGAAGGTTTTATGTGAACCCTTTTACCAATGTTGAAAATTTTATTTAGTATATTTACATTGTTACAATATATGTGTTGGGGTAGTAAGGGTGTCACACTTGTTATTGTACTTAGTCGACATAATAGCCCTTAGTTTCCAAGGGCAACCTTTATTACTATTAAGACATCGGATAGACAAAATCTTCAATCCAGACTCAACAACTACAAATGTCTGGTGAGCATTCATAGAGTAGTGTTTAACAGCCATTTGGACATCAACTTTCGTATGAAAACGTAGTCCAACATATAACTCATCCCCAACACACTTAGAATTGGGAATGTCTAACCCACCATACCACATCTCTTGATCCGAATGAGACCAATCAATGTAACTATAATGTGGAGTATTGCTCTAAAATGGAGTTTGTGATGGACCTACACGGTGACACCAACCATAATATCAATAATAAATATGACAAAATTAAAATGACAGTACAAAAAATTTGTAATTACCTGATTCGTTTATTCTTAGAGGCTCAATGTTACCTTCGTCTGATGAGTTATCATATCAACTTGTTCAACATTGATATCATCATCGTCACTTAAGTTTGTTGCAAAATCAACGTTTGAATCAAGATGATTTATTAGTGGCGAAATTCTTTGCTCAAACTGATAGTAACTACTCATTACATTTGAATGTGTTAACACTAGAGGTTGATGTGCTTCTTCTGTTGTAGTTAAATCTTGTAAAGAAAAAGAAGATGTGTCAACAATATCAACATCAATATATAATTCTACCATAGTCATATAACTTTTCCCTTCAAAACCATCAAGCATGCATGCAACATCTTCATCGTCTGCAATTTCTCCAGCTAGATAAAAAATGGGATTCAAAGATTGTAAATATCTACAAGTGATGCTAGAAACAATTTGGTTACGATGCAATTTCAATTTGGCATGAATTTTTTTCTTTAAAGATTCAAAATCCAATCCATGATTTACATGAATTGTTTTCGTGTCACCTGTAAAAATGCAACCTTGATCATTGTTAATTCTACTACCATTATAATATAGTAAGCAAATGAAAGACATTTTGTAAATGAAAGTAGAAATATGCAGAATCAAGAGATAAAGATATGAGAACGCATATAAGAGTTGCTGAATGAAAATATCGGTCGAAGACTTGAGGAATATGGAATGAAGAGAACAACTCCTTCATCTATATATATTAAAACTTCTACTGACAAGCTTCACGGATAGTCAAACGTAATTACTTTACCTTCACGCGTAACCACAGAAACGATGAGGCTTTACATTCACGTGGAAGGGACATCACATTCACGGACTTGTTGTTTTTTACGGATTGGATGGGACACATAACAAAATGTCAACCAAGAAGACGAGAAGCTCATGTTCACAAAATGTCTGGGCAGTGAAAGGGTTGTACACAAAATGTCAATGCCCTTGACATTTTCCATTCATTATGCCTTCTACACAAAATGTCAATGCCCTTGACGTTTTCCATTCATTATGCATTCTACACAAAACGTTAATGCCCTTGACGTTTTCTATTCAATATGGCTTCTCACAAAACGTCAATGCCCTTGACGTTTTCCATTCATTGCCTCATCTTTTGTGTTTCCACGTATATGCATGTGTTTCTCTCTCCTATTTGACATGGCAAAAAGTATTTATTTTGGTAAATTATTTTTTTTATTAATTTATTTTAGCAATTTTAATTTTTTTTAAATTTATAATGGCAAAAAAAGCCCTTATATTTGTGTTCATTATTAGAATAAATCTTATGTGTTGTTAAAGTATTAAACTAAATTATATTTTTTATTTTTTATAAGTTTAAATTATGTAATTTTATTACTAACTATTAATTAAGTATTAGTTAGCCGTTAGTTGACTTTAATGCTAATATTAATGATGATATTTCGGTAGTAACATAACAACTCGTGATATTAATATGGACTAGTGATCTCACGTTGAGATATTAAATTTTTTTTTTTTTGTGAAAGAAAGTATAATTTTTTTACACCAAAGAAAGTATAAATTTTAAGTGACTCGACGAGGATTATAATCCATAACAATATATTTTTTTAAGAAACATAAAATATTTAAGTGTAGTTAAATTAAAAAAAATATTAATGATTTAATTTTTATTATGAATATTTATTTATTTATTTATATAATTTATAATTTAATTTATATATTAATTTTTTATTATATTATATAGATAAATAAATTAATTTATTAGACTTACCAGTTTTTTTTATAAATTTGAATTCAACTTTTTTAAATAAATATTTTTTAAAGTCTAAATTTATCTTTTTTATTAAATAATAGAGTAAGTCAAACTTTAAATATTTATTTAAAATCATATATCATATATGTTTTTATTAAGTATAGTTTTATATTTTTAATTTCTAAAATATATGATGGTTATAATTATTAAAATTTATATTAATTCATTATGATCATTACACCTACAAATTACAACTACTAACAACGAAATTATCTCATAGTGAAAGATTTATATTTAAAATATCTAGATATATACTTTAAATATAAACAACTAAAATAAACTCTAATATATATGTAAGGTGAATTTATAATAATTATGAATTTTTTTAAAAAAATAAATAAATAAAATTATAATATTTTAACGAATAAAGGTACAATTCAACCTTTTTACGTCATATAATTCACAATTTAAACTATGTATAAGCTTAAAAAAATAAAGTATTGAAATAAAATTATATAACTAAGGATTACAAAATGAATAGTTTATTTTGAAAGAAAAATAGTAAATGTATGATGCAAAGTTGTAAATTACATACACAAAGTGACAAAACGTCAAGTTGAGATCACATGCAATGCAAGAGCAAAAAAACATCGAGATGAAGCCAAATGACCGGAACGAAAGCGATTTGGTTTTTCTAACAAAAGCCAATTGTATTCAAGTAGAACAGAAGGGGATGGACCCATCAATGCCCCTAGACAGAGTAAAGCTAAAAAGACTAAATTAATTAATTAATTAAACTATCATATTTTAAATTGACAATAAATAATTTATATCGTAACGTAAGATAATATTATTTAAATTCGAAAAAAAAAGGAAAAAAGAAAAAGCAGGAAGGGTTGTTCCGTTCCGTTGCAGTGGTAGGTTACCTTATCCATGATTGAATGCAATTGGTATGCATCAGGATTGAGGATTGAGGATTGAGGATTGAGAATTGGGGGAATGGAGAACAACCAGCAGCAGCAGCAGCAGCAGCAGCAGCAAGGAGGTCAAGGTCAAGGGCAAGGGCAATCGGGTGGGGCGTACCCAGGAGCAGGAGGGGCTCCACCCTTCCAGCACCTCCTGCAGCAGCAGCAGCAGCAGCTGCAGATGTTCTGGTCCTACCAGAGGCAAGAGATCGAGCACGTTAACGACTTCAAGAACCACCAGCTCCCCCTCGCCCGCATCAAGAAGATCATGAAGGCCGACGAGGACGTCCGCATGATCTCCGCCGAGGCTCCCATCCTCTTCGCCAAGGCCTGCGAGCTCTTCATCCTCGAGCTCACCATCCGCTCCTGGCTCCACGCCGAGGAGAACAAGCGCCGCACTCTCCAGAAGAACGACATCGCCGCCGCCATCACCCGCACCGACATCTTCGACTTCCTCGTCGACATCGTCCCCCGCGACGAGATCAAGGACGACGCCGCCCTCGTCGGCGCCACCGCCAGCGGCGTCCCCTACTACTACCCTCCCATTGGCCAGCCCGCCGGCATGATGATCGGCCGCCCCGCCGTCGATCCCGCCACCGGCGTCTACGTCCAGCCCCCCTCCCAGGCCTGGCAGTCCGTCTGGCAGTCCGCCGCCGAAGACGCCTCCTACGCCACCGGCCCCGCCCAGGGTAATCTCGATGGCCAGAGGTAACTCACTCACTCACTCACTCACTCACTCAGACCTTGCTTCTGTTATATTCATTCTCTCCAATTGCAATTTTACATATATTATGTACCATTTCATGTTGTTGCCTTGCCTGAGGTAACCTCTTAAAAGTCGCTTTCTCTTGAGAATTTGATTTGCATCGGGAAGGAATTTTATTATAAACACTTAGGGCCATAAATTCTCTGAGCCTGAGGAAGAGTTTTGCCGCTCATTGCGTTCCTACTCGATTTGAATAGGATTGTTGACCACTACCCGAATTGAAAAGGATTGTCTCTAGTAGAGGATGCGTGTAGGGTAAGTTTGGGTTGGATTTTGTGATTCAAGTGGAAGCAACTCCTTGTAGCTTTTGTGTAACTATGACATTTGGACGTGAAAATTTGTTGCAACGTGTGTATAGAATGCCGAACCAAACACACATGTAGTCTTTATCCAAAGAAAAAAGAAAATCAGTTGGGGTGTGATGATATCAGTTCTTGGTCTGTTTGTTATTTTTTATGGAGATGGAGGAATGAACAATTACACAATGCTCGCTTCGTGCATCTTAATAAACCTTGGGATGTTATCAAGTCGTGTTGGAATTCATGCAATGTTTCTAGTGTTGTTAGTGGTTGCTTGGAGCAGAGGAATAAAGCTATTGTCTGTCAGTTCTGACTTTTAATACTGATGGTTTGGTTAGGGGAGAAGGAGGTGGAAGTGAAGGGATGTTGCTGGTTTTGGGGGCATTATTCAGGATGAAAATGGTAGATGGTTATGTGGTTTTGGGAAGCTTTTAGCTGCATTTGTTGTAGAGTTGTGGAGAGTCTATGAAGGACTTCAAGTGTCTATGAATATAGGCATGAGAGCGCTGGAACTTCATCTGGATTTGTTGACTGTGGTGAAAAGTATAAAGGGTGAGACTGCAGGAAGTGTGCATGGTGGGAGACTGTTTCAAGCAGTCCCATATCTTCAGTCTTTGGATCGGCAAGCTAGTGTTAAACATGTATATAGGGAAGCAAGGAAGTGTGCTGATAGTTTGGCTAATATGGCTTGTTATAAGGGGAATAATCTTGTGATTTCTGAAAGTCCCCCTCTTCATATTAGTCATTTGTTATTAATTGATGTCCTGGGAGTTTGTACTCCACGTTTAGTCTCTTTGCTATCTTTCCTTTGGGCCTAGGTCTGGTTGAATTCCAAAATAAAAGTGGTCCATGTTCACGAAATGATTGTTAATTTAAGATATCTTCGAAGTTGATCAAATATTTAATCAGAATGTGGCTTATACTCACAGCCTATTAGAAAACAAACTTTCATATTTTTTAATCATATATTCTTTAATATGTATATTTTAAATATATACTTGATTATTAAATTTGCATAACTAGTGTCCTATTGACCCAAATGCCTCAATCAAATTGATATATGGTCCAATTTTAATAACTATGTTTCATAAGTAAAGATAATTAGATATTTCATGCTTTTATTCCTACAGGCCCAAATCTGGTGATACAATGAAAGAATGTGTCTCTTGGACTTTAAATATAGATATACAAATGAAAATTGTTTGGATTGTTAACAGATACTAATTATGTTTTCTGAAAAAATTTGGGATGGTGAATATCACACACTTTGTTTTTTTTGCGCATTTTATGCCAATAGTGTTGCTTGATTGCTTCTGATATTGTTGCTTAAGCTGTCATTTCATTTAATGTGCTTTACCTTGCCAAGTTGTTGGAGTTGGAGCTCAAGTCATTAATTAGTTTTCTTGATTCGCCAGGCTGTTAAGATAATATTTTTGTTGCATATTGGTTTGGATGATTATATAGGTACAGTTTGCCCCAACATTTGTTGAAAATTAGAAACTAACAAACCAGAAATATGTCATTTCTTCTCTGCCCTTGAAATTCAAGTAACTGGATTGACTTGAATGTTTCTGTTCTTTCTTTAGCCTTCTTTTTTGGGGGCAGGGGGTGTGAAGTTTTAAAAGTTCATATACAGAAAAGATGTGTAGCACATTCCTAACTCTTTTAGGGCTCAATTGATGGATTTGTTTTCTGAGCTTTATACCATAGATGTTAATCTTGGATAGTGGAGAAGAGTGGCCAACCGGAAAAGTGAGATTGTAGATAGTGGGATGATCGCTATTCTAATTTATATATATATAGGAGCCAGAAGAAGTAATGGAAAACCTACTGCCCAACCCCATGATCGCACCACCTTGCTCTACCACTTTTGCACTCACACCGGCCGCTTCACTAAAATGCTCTGCATCAAGTTTTTTGTAGTGGCACTGAGCTACTCCACTTTGCTCCGGCCGCTTGATAGCTATGCTTTATATCAATCATTTCAATTGGCATTTCTACCTTTCCACACAATGTTGTAGATATGGCTTCAACTTAAATCATATTTCTATGTTAATGTTGTTAGAAATCCCACATAGACTAGTATATGGCTAAACTAAAGTATATAAATGGGGAGTAGTCCTTACTTTACAAGTTGATTTTATAGAATTGAGTTAAGTTTAATCCTACAATCTTAAGATGGTATCTTAAGAATGTGGGTTTGAGCCTAACTCTAAAGTAAGGATTTCTGTCACTTATGTACTTTATTTTGGCCATACCACTAGTCTTCAAATTTCTTATACATGAAGGACGTATAGCACATTCATAACTCTTTTAGGGCTGAATTGATGGGTTTGTTTTCTTAGCTTTATATCATTCCTATCAATTGACATTTCTACCTACCTGAATGATCTTGTAGATATGGCTTCAACTTATATCATGTTGCTATGTTAATGTTGTTAGAAATCCCTCATTGACTGGTATATGACTAAAATAAAGTGTATAAGTGAGGAGCTGTTCTTACTTTACAAGCCAATTTTGTTGAGTTGGGTTAAGTCTAATCCCACAATCTTAAGATGGTATCTTAAGAATGTGAGTTTGAGTCTAACTCTAAAGTAAGGATTTCCCTCACTTATATACTCTATTTTAGCCATACTACCAGATGACTCTAACAACAATTTTTGCTTGTTATGTCACCTGTTATTAGATCACACTATTAGACCACCTGTAAATGTTTAATTTTACAAACTTCACGCTTGAGATGTTCAGCCTTCAACATGAGAGGTGTGTTGGAGATTTCATATTGGCTAATGATATGACTATAATAATGTATATGAGTGAAAAATAATCCTTACTTTACAAGTCCATTTTGTAAGATTTAGTTAGCACCTAAACCCACATTCTTAAGATGGTATCAATGCCATTCATCTTATGTAACACTAACTTATGCCCTTTGCAACATTGCATCCATTACTACTTTAAGTTCAAAATATTTTATTACTCATTAGCACATGTATTATTTTAGGGTCCAATTGCAAGGTACAGGGCGTGAGTCTCTCATTCAAAATATGAGATTCTAGTGTGGAGTTTATAAGACCTTGGATTTTCCCACTACAACTAACTTTTGTGGTGTGGATCTCCCAAGGTTTTATCAATTGGTATTTAGAGCTTTTCACCATGTATCTCAGTTGTAAAATAAGGCGTGAGCAGTGATGCCTCCGAGACTAGTCAAAGAGTTAGTGCACAGCCAACCCGGGTGGTGTTCAAGGCTTCGGAGCGTGGTGGGATGTTAGGATCTAATCGCAAGGTTTTTGAATTTGGACATAGGACCTAATTTAACGCCACAAATTTGACTTGTAAGCTTACAAACTTTATAAGCTCTATTTATGTCATATCTCTAGTCGATGTTAGATAAACCACAACCCTTAAAACTGCAATTAAGGTAGCACTCAAAGAGCCCACAACTAAGGCGGCTTTCCAACACATGGTATTGATGGTACTTGAGTCTCACATTGGAACTATAAGATTCTGGTGAGGATTATAAGACCTTGTTCTCTCCAACTACAACAACTAACTTTTTGGTGTGGTTATCTCGAAGTTCTTACCATAGAAGTCACAACAACTAATTGAATCTGCACTGCCACCACCAACCTGCGTCACCAATAGGAGCCTCCATAGCCGCGTGGTTCTGTGTTGTCGTAAGCTACATTTTACTCTTCATATTTGTAGTCAAATCTTCTAAGATGGGAGACAATGGTGAGTTGCATTATGCATGATGACACTGAGGCTTAAAGTTAAGAAAGGAATGGGATTAGGAAAATTGGACCAATAGGTTCGATGTTTTGAGTGTTTTTTCTTTTTTGTTTGTTTGTTAGGGCCTCTATTTTGAGTTAAATTTAGCTTCTCTCTTTAAGTGCTTTTTAAATAAGCATAGCATATAATGTAGTAAAAAAAACCAAGTAATAATAATAAATATAATAATAATTGTAATAAAAATATAATAAATTATGTAAAACATAACACATTATAATAAGCTAAATAATAGTAATATATATATATAT